ATTATAACGCTGAAGGGGCGAACATGTTTGGGGTGACGGGGATTCGAACCCTCGACCCGCAGATTGCGAGTCGAGCACTCTAACCACCTGGCCATGCCGGGCCGTTATGTTATTATGTCGTATCATTAAGTATTGTGTACAATAGATAAATTAATTATGTTTCTACATAAGCTTTAATTGATATATATATATATATATATATATGTGTGTGTGTGTGTGTGTGTGTGTGTATGTATTCATTTCTTTGTGAAATGAGCTTCGATATTCAAGTACGAGTTTGCATGTTTTTATTTATGGTAAAGCTACTAATTCTGAACTACTGATCAGAGGGAAGGCGGCCAATGAGCAGCACCTTAAACCTCATCATTCACATTCAAGAAACTGACTGTCATTCGTATAACACACCAACAGATTAAAGTGCGGGGAATATTTTGTGGTACCTTACGGATTCGAACCCAACTCGCCATCTCCAAAATCCAGAGCTCTAACGTCGGGCCGATCCGCACCCAGGATGTGCGAATTGCCTGTGAAGTGATGTAAATCTATATAAATATAATAGTACTGTCTTTTTTCTGTCCATGTAACTACTTCGCAGGGTGTGGATGGATCTTCACCAAAATTTGTATGGAGGTTCATTAGGTCCATGCGGGGTTACATATAAAACCTTCAGTTTTGCGGTTTTTATGGGCGTTTTCACCACTACGTCGCCCCCTGTTGATGGATCTTCACCAAATTTTTCATGAAGGTTTGTTGGCTCCATGCGGAGATACATCCAAAGTTGCGGTTTCACATTTTGTGTTTTGCAGTTTGTATGCGCGTTTTTGCGTATTTTTTTATCATCTGCTGGAATATTTTTAAATCGAACAAGTTTATGTTTCCACTTACTATTCAGTTAGCACTATTTTTCTATATTTTCATATACATAAGTAACAGCGGAGTAGTCGAAGGTAAACTGCGTTCACCCAGTTCTCATTCGAGAAAAATGACGATCACCCACTTCTTATTTGTTGAAAATTACGTTCACCCACTTCTAGTTTACGGAAAATAGAGTTTATCTGCTTCTTATTTATAGAAAATGGCGTTCACCACTTTTCTTTTAGCAGCATAATATGTACCATAGGCCCTGCCTGGATCCCGACCGTTACGAAATATTAGTTAACCATATTATTTGTTACCATCATAATGAGAATGATTAACACCATATACGCATAGTATTGAATACAAGCTAGAATACCCGTCCCTTGGACGGAAGTTATGTAAGTTCACGATTAATTAAAGGTTATCTTACGACATGAAAAGTTGCTTGCCTTGTATGTAATTGTGAAAAAAAAAACGGAAACCATAACTTAGCTACGACAACTCAAAACTATAATGATTCAATGAATTGGCTAAAATATCTCCAGTGATTCCACTTGAAAGTCGCTCATAATCATAACTACTTCGAGCTAGATCTGCACAGACAGAAAGGCAATATAAAAAATACGTATATTCTGCACTGATGTGATGCCAAAGTGTCTGTAAGTCTTGATTTTATAAAACTAACAAGTGGAAGCCATAAAGAGAGGTAATATCTCACAAAACAGATAATTTTTAATGAAATTAATTTGCTAAAGTTGCTAACTTCCATGAAATAATGGGTAGTTTTACAATGCAGTAGTTAACTACTGGCTTTTGTGAGTGATTTTGAGCTCTAGAAACTAACTTATCATTTTCTATGATTCAATTTCAAGAACCCAGTAAAATTATGTGCTGCATAACTTAATAAATGAAAACTGCATTAAACTCGTGGTTTTGAGCTGTAAAGAAGCTACAGTTTCACAACAGAATTATCATAGATTCATTTGATGCTTTTCTGAACTTCATAAATTCATGAAAGTCGTTGAATTTTCGTGAAATTTATGATGTCTTAGAGCTGTACCAACTGCCTTGGGGTTTCATTACGTTACACTAATATTACAGGGGTTTATTCATTTCTATCAAGACTTCTTGAACCTACGTGTTTTTCTAATATCACGATCAAACTTAATATAATACTGAATTGTAATAAATAATATACTGTAGTTTCAGTGCTTGAATTAGGCGTTAAGTGTTTTTCAGCTACACGATTGGCTATCTGTGCTACGCCCATAGCAGGAATCGAAACCGATCTTTAGCGTTATAAACTCAGACTTACCGTTGGACCACCGGGAGGTTTCAGCTATAGTAGCTAAAATGGTTAGAATATGCCAGTCTTACAAAACTAATGGGGATTTGTGATTTTGTAAATAAATTATGAATTCAATGTTTCAATTTAATCAAACCAGTGGGAGGTGGAGGTTATAATTCTAGTAGCTAACTCTAATTGTCTTACAATTTTATTATTTGAATTTCACGAAACCAGGAAGTTTGGGGATTTTAGTAGCTAACTTATTGTTTCATTATGTGAAACCACGGAGGTATGAAGCTCTTAAGTAAGTAACTTATGGCTTCAATATGAGAATTTTACGAAATCAGGAAGATTTGTAACTCTGCTGCCTAACTTATGGTGTCAATATAATAAACCAAGAAGGCTTAAGGCTCCAGTAACTAACTTATAGTTTGTTTCATACACCAATTTAGTGAGAAATAGATACTTTAAGAGAACGGAGTTACATGATGACTTCAATATATCTAGTTTGTGAAACGAAAATGGTTTTAGTTGCAGTACCTTGCTTATGCTTTCAGTTTCATGAAATCAGAGTTGCTTGAAAATGCTGTTACTCTGTCTTATGATTTAAAAATATAAAATTTCATGATTTAAAATTGTTTTGAGTTGTAATAACTAAATAATGTTTCAATATTTCAGCTTCTCAGAAAGTATCGATCTGAAGTCTAAAAGTTATCATGAAGATAATAGGGCATTAATATTTTGTAGAGATTTTTAAAGCAGTATTATTTGTATGTTAAGTAGATACCATATGTTTGAAATTATGAAAGACAACTATGTGACTGTTTATAATCGTACTAAAGCTTTTATAGCAAGGTATGCTCTCGGCATTTTACAGTTTAAACGTTAGGATGTCTCAAAACTGGCTAGTTAGTAAGTTTGTTTCAGAATTTCGGGCAATGGCTATCCCTTGTCTAGTCTAACAGCGGGATTTGACAATCACTCTTATAACGCCACACGGACCCAAAGTGCGGATCAAATTTTTTACTAACGGGTAGCGAACCATGAATCCTCGGATTCACAGTTCGGGTAAGCTGATAACTGCTAGCTCACATATTAAACTAAAAAGTACCCAGGCTCTTTCGGGATATCAATCTTTAAAAGTTTAAAATTCTTCGAAAAATATTCTCTTCTTAGAGAAAAGTAAGTAATTAAGTGCTTTTATATTTACCCATTTTTTGGATTTTCCTCATTCTAGTGCAGTATAAAGGTAATATGCCACGACAGTTTTTCTTTTCTCAATACTACATTTCAGATCAATGAAGTTTCTTTGCTTATATTTATTTACTAGTAGCACGTAAATTTAACAGAAATAATCAAAATCTGATCCGAAAATTTAAAGTACATTATTGTTATTGATTTTATGTACGTAGATATGCTGTTGACTGTATTAGTTAAAATGCCCTTCATATGCAAAGACAGTGATGAAAATTAAGAACATGTGCATGACCTATGCGAGAGTTATATTTTATTACAGTTCCTTTTGTTGTTCTAACATATTTAAGCTAATAACAACAAACAGATAAACGTGACTGAATACTCCATTTACATGATTGGCGAATGTTAATTATAATAATTATAAAGGATGTTCCAAAAGTTTAGCCTTATAGGGAAATAAATTGTTCACCGGATTTGTCCAATGTGTTATATCTAGAATTTTATTAATCTATTGGGCTAATATTCTGAGTGTCCTAAAAGTCTGGACCTCTCGTGAAACGAGACTTTTCACATTCTTTGCTCGATGTGTTAGCCATCATTTCTCTAGAGCGCCAGACTTTTGGGATACCATGTATAATATAGTAAGCCTTCACGTTATGAAAATAGTGACCACCTAGAGAAGCAAACTCCTTTTTTTGCCAATCAATTCAAAATAAAATTCGACTGCACAACGCCCACTAACAGCATGGGATTGCAATCACTTCTATGGCTCATGGCTCTGAAAGCTACGTCAAAACTCAACATCATACGACAAGGCACTTTATTTAAAGAAAAAAAAAAAGATAAGGAAAAATAAACAGACAAATACACAGTTAGCAGGAGCCATTACTTGTTATTATGCTCACTAGGGGGCGAGAGTTAATGAAAAATGTTTACAGGTAGCTTACAATATTTGTAATGACGTATGTACAACTTTATCGCGCCAAGAAATGCAGCGCTACCTAACGGAGTAAGAGAAATGGGAACAAACCACCCTTACACGTGAAGTCATTGCCCTGCCAGAAGTGCACAGTGCCTCAAGAGTAACGTGGAGTATTCCCTTCTCTCCTTTAAACAGAGCCGACTAGGATGAAGCCTATTCGTTCCGTTAGTATCAGTGATAGAGACGATATACAGAGCGTTTGAGAAACTGAAGAGATGGTTTCTGTGGCAATGCGCAGCTACGTTTAACCTCACTGGCGCTAGTTATAACACAACGATTTTTAATGTGTTTATCGCTTTCTCCTCGTCATTCTTGTTTGTTTACGGAAGCAAACCAATGTATGGCTTGCTCACCAATAATCTGTGACATTTACATTTTTAATAACAAGTATATTTCAATGGAGAAATATTGTTTACCTTAAGCTGAAAATTATCATGATAGCAAAAAAAAGAAGAAGATAAGATACAGTAATATTATTTGTTAGAAAAAAATTACGTATTTGTTGTTTTACTGATGAACACTTGCCGTTAAGTGTGTCGTTTATGTTACATGAAATACAAGAACATTAAGTGACTTCCATGAGCGTAAAAAGTGACACAGATACCACATTTGAGTGATGTCATCACTTTCACTCTCACGGAAAGAACGGTAAGTATCTGAATGATATCTACGCTGTTTTAATAACCTCTAGTAAAGGGTTTTATTCATTAACATACGTTTAAATATTGATGGATTCTAAAAAACAAAACAAAAACTAACCACTGATTAATCGAAATCATGAAATATGGTCAGCTATACTTGGTTTACTCGCTTTTTAAATGTCTTAGATCATTATGGAAATCTAAATCGTCATTAACTTTTACTAATGACAGTGTTAAACTTTTTTCAAATTGGTGCAGTTTAGGTTTTGGTTGTTTACCATATTATCGTACTGTTCAAATGCTAACGATATGTAGAATTTTAAAATATGAAGAAATAGGGAATGCTTTCCTGTGGTGATCAGATATACGAGCTTGTAAGAAAAAAAAATCAGAATTTTAAGTGTATGTCTGTTTGGAGTGGGTTCGTATCCCCGTCCCACCAAACATGCTCGCCCTTTCAGCCGTGGGGGCGTTATAATGTGACGGTCAATCCCACTATTCGTTGGTAAAAGAGTAGCCCAAGAGTTGGCGGTGGGTGGTGATGACTAGCTGCCTTCCCTCTAGTCTTACACTGCTAAATTAGGGACGGCTAGCGCAGATAGCTCTCGTGTAGCTTTGCGCGAAATTCCAAAAAACAAAACAGTAACACTTTATTTTTT